CAGAGAGGCCGCGCCCCCTACACGTTGGCCTGTTCTTGTTTTCTCTAGGCCCGCCCTAATCCTCTCCCTACCATAATCCCAGGTCCGTCTGCAGTGCTACACCATTGTGCTACACATGGCTGCGCTGTTCGGTACCGAGACGGTTCCCATCGCCATTGTTGTCGAGACTGTCGGTATACTTCAAGCTATCGCCACTCGCACCGTTGCTTGAGCCAGCAACGACTGCTTAGGCAAGATGGTGTGGTGGTGCACTATGCTTACGTGTACGGTCGTTGCAGTATCGTGGGATGCGATAGGCACACCTCAAACGGCTATGTCACTTGTTGCTCTAGCTGTTCGCGCTCCTCAGGAGTGTGGCATACGGCCCGCTGCAATCGAGGACACAGCGCTGTGGGGGCAGCAGCACGGGCACAAGCTAGGGACGCCCGTCCTCCAGCGCCGTTCGGTTCTTTCACTACGGCATCGGGCTTTCAGCATTCGGCAGCAGAGACGGAGCAAATGGGGACTGGCCCGGGGATTGTGCCTGATCCTCCAGCGCCGTTCGGTTCTTCCGCTACGGCATCGGGCTTTCAGCAGGGCAACGGATCCACCGCTACATATTCGGCAGCAGAGAAGGTGGAGCACACGGGGACTGCGCTCTTGGCAGAGCACCCATCCTTCAGCGCCGGTCTTCTTTTCTTCCGCTACAGCTCCGGGCTTTCAGCAAGGCGACAGTTCCACCGCTACATCTTCGGCAGCACAGATGGTGGAGCAGACCGTGCCTGAACCATCAGGTACTCAGGACGACTCTGATGAGAAGGGCGCATCAGATGCTTTCATCGATCTCAACACCATGGATTCATGATTCATGGATTGAGTTGCTTGAAGGGAACCATTGAAATGATGGTGCGATAACAAGATCGGTCCAAAAAAAGTATCGACCGGATCCGACGCGGCGTGCGAGTGAGTGAGTACTACTCCTACGACTACTACTACTACTGCTACCGCTCGTTTGTCATGGGTTCTGATTCTACTACGTGTCACATAAGTAATTCCGTGGCAGATGACAGCTGCATGTCCACAAAACATTATACATTTATATTGCAGTCGTATACTGCACCGTAGCTGTTACATGGCACCTTGTTTGTTAGATTCCTGTTTGCAGACAACGGCCTTAGTTCAGGGTTTGGACTTCCTGTCACCTACTTGTCCGGGTTGGTGCAGCCAGGTGTCGACAAGAGCAGACGGAAGCCTCGAGTGTGAGCCACGACACGGTGCGCCCTCCCTGCACTGCCCTGCAGAGTTCATACAGTTCATGTGTATGTGCAATACTTATGTTGCTGCAATGTTGCCCTAGTGTTACCACTTTGACTGCGAAACGTTCAGATGAAGCTGTCTCGCTGACTCCACGTCACAGTGCTGCTATCTCCAGCGATGATTATAAGCATTACATATCATTGTTATCGCACTATCATGAGATTCGTCCGTCGATGTGTCATGTCTTGCAGACCGGTCACAGACAGGTTTCGTAACTTTGCGCTACAAGTTCGTTCTAGATTTCACCTGATGGAACCGCATGATGAGCTGCGCGTGCTGAGAGACAGGGTAACAATATTGGAGGGTCGGATCAATGCCATGGAGGAGCGCATGAATCGAGCGGAAGCCAATATCAGAGATGAAACCCATTGGATCTCACGCTGGAGGATTTGTTTTTCTGATGCCGTCAAGAATGCCTTCAACATTATTACACTCCAGCTCACTGCTGCGATCCATGACATGTGATGGCACTGGCACAGTCCTGGCACAGTGATATTATGAGGGATTCCCTGTTTCAATGCCTCAACCTTCCAGTATGCATAGACTGCATAGACTGTGTAGATTCCGTAGATTGAATATGAACCAACTAACGATGTATCATCGAGTCACTCGCGCAGCTGGAACAACAACCTGTGAGCTTGTGAGGGTGTCACGGTGTCCGAATACAGAGTGTACCCAGTCTACCCGTGTGCAGGTGTGCCGTGTGCCTATTGATTCAGTGCTACCCAAGGACAGGTCAAACCAACCGTCAGCAATTTTGTGCCCGAGTCCTTGCCTTGCGGTTTTTTTGCCTTGCCACCATGGCTTCGTGGCCGAATGTGCCGAATCTAGATTCCATGGATGGTATGCCTGCCCTGCCCGGTTTAACTGCATCGCAAAGCGAGTTATCCAGCTGGCGATGCATGCCAATCGCGCAACGCAAGCAGGCCGGGGGGAGAGCCAAAAACTGACATCAGGCTAACATTAGGCCTGTAGGGCCTGTAGGGCCTGTAGGGTTGTAGAACATAAAGGAAGAAGCTGCTAGGCAGTATGCTGGCCTTGAAGGTGCTCGATCACTTGGCCTTTCGTGTAAGGTTGGCCTTGACCGAGTTGGCGCCGCAGGGACATATTTTCGAGGGCTGTGTGACCGAACTTCTCTCCATGCCAAAGACAGTGTCCCTTGGCTGGCATAGGATTTCCATAATATATGTTCACTCTAGAACTCTTGACTCTTGAAGCTTAAACCAATAAACGGTTCGCAACAATCCAGGCGGTCGCAGTGGCACGACCTCTACCAAGAGTTATCATGGCCGGCAGCTGGTAACAAGGTGAACACTTTGTTGCTGCTTACTTTGGCGCCCAATGTAAGGGAACACGCCACGAACCCGCTTACCCTCGGGCCTTGTTTTGAGGGCGAGCCTAGACAGTGTTTGCATTCGTTTACTTTGTTTTTCTGTAGGAAAAATTTTGTATGGTAGTAATGTGGCACTGTCGTCGTTGCCAATCAATCGGAAACCAGGCAGTCGCATGGAGAACTCAACAAGAGGTTGACTACTGCGGCTGGCATGCGGAGCAGATCTCTTGTCTCCTCGAGAACTTGTTCGAGGCATTGTACGTGCTGCACTTGGCAGCATGCTGCTCGGCCTCACTGGATTTATGTTGTCATTCAACTTAAACTAGTCAATTAAGTAAAACTTGAAGACTTGAAGCCCCTGCCGCACTGCTGCAGGGCTTGTCGAGGGCGACCTTTACAACTGGATGCTCCGGGCGTTGAGGAGACAGCCCAGAGCGTGATGACCGTGATGTCTGGTGGCCGAGAAGGACGTCCTTATTTATGGAGTTATGGAATTAAACTATGTACAGACTACAGATTCTACAGAAGGACAGACGACAGACGGGACTTTGAAGAAGTCCTGCAGAATAACTGCTCGCCAGCCCAGGAAATGCTGCCCCGCAGAATAGCTGCCCGTCAGCCCAGCAAATGCTGCCCCTGCTGATAGCACCGGAAGGGGCAGCACAACAAGGTGTACGGAAAAAGAGTGAATCAGATGCCGGCCGACAGCAGCAGCACCAACAACACAAGTAGCAGCAGCAGCAGCAGATGCACACGAACAGCAACAACAAAAACAATAACATGCCATGTTCGTCATGTTCGTGATGCATTATGCATGATTTCATTCCGATGCCTTGCGTTGTCGAAGATCCTGTGGTTGCAATACGGTAACAGTCACAGTCACCACAAGGTTACATGATATTCGCTTAGTCTAGTCAACGCCACGACATAGCCGTGCTAAGTGCTGAGTCCTATAGCAGCTGCACACGGACAGCAACAATAAAAAACAATAACGTGCCATGTTCATGATTCATGTTTTCACTCCCATGCCTTGCGTTGTCGAAGATACTGTCGTTGCAATACAGTCACAGTCACAGTCACCAGAATGTTGCCTGTTCGCTTAGTCATTATTCTAGTCAACGCCACGACATAGCCGCGCTAAGTGCTAAGCCCTATGCCTGCCTATGCCTGTCCATCGACATCATGTCGACACTGACCTGCCTGCAACTGGAACCATACGACGATGCTGTCCTTCGGCATCTTGGCCACGAGCCTGGATCTACCAAATCGGTCGATCCAAAATCATTCGAGAAGGTGGCAGTGTTTCGGTTTCTCAGCAGCACAAACAAAACTGAGTGAAGGGATACGGGATACGGGACACGGTGTCGGTGTCGGGTGTCGGTGTCCGGCTCACGCATGGAGTCGCATAGAGTTTTGGATGTTAACACTGCTAACTGCTAATTCCAATACTGCGCGTGTGACACGGTAACTTTACAAGGACAGCACCACCGGCTCGCAAGATCACCCAGCTGGATACACCCGTCATTGGTTTTCTATGTTCTAGCGGCAAAAGTGGCAGCGGCTCTTCAACAAGAACTTTGATTGGCACGGGCAGACTCGCGCAAGTTATTCAGTTGACACATGACAGTGGCAATACAATCAAGAAGAGCACCGCCAAGACAAAGGCCAAGCCAGGCAAGTCACGACAGGCTACATTGGATGCCGATGTGACAGCATGTGGTGTCCATCTGCCGTCCCTCGAGTCTATCCGAAGAGACTGCGGGTTCACAAAAACATCGACAGTGCATTGTATGATATTCTTCTGTCTATGTGGCCGCCAACACCAGGCTATTGAATGCAAGACTCGATGTGGCTGGGGATCTTCAACGGTTCCGGAGACGATCCATGACATTGGAAATCTCTTTCGTACGGCGACCGCGGCGACGGGTGTTCGATCCCAGACGTATCTTGAGTTAAATGATATGAACAATGAATCACTGAATCTGTAATACTGAGTAATATTGTATTACTGTATTACTGTATTACTGTAATATTATTTTGTTTGATGTCTTGTGTGTGTGATGATGTTGTTGTTAATGCATGTGAACCTTTCCTTCCCAAGGACGTGTCTTCAAGTACAGATGCGCAGTAAGCCTAACATACACCAACGAGGACGAGCGGACCTGCGGGATCAACGAATCGATCTGTATAGACTAGATGGGATGGGTCGGTGTTAGTCAGTGACAGTGACAGTGAGTCTCATCGAGTGTGTAGCTGAGGCCATCATCATCGGTCTCGCCGGCTGCTACAGTCATAGATCCACGAGACACACCGACGGGACCCACGGAACCAACGGGTGATTGCGTGCAGCGGGAGAATGAGGAGTCGACCAATGCTGACATACCAGATCAAGATCAAGCACCATCCCAAGCGGATCCGGATCATGTGCTGCCTGGCATATGACCTAGTCGCTCACTCACTAGACTCAATAGACTCAATAGACTCAATCAATATTGTATCTCATTTACCATGGTGACTAAACGAAATCCTGGCGGCATGGGTTCACGATTCCACATTTTCGGCTATTATTTGTGATTCTCGCTGTCGACATGTCGCGACAGCCATGACAGCAATGACTCGACACCAAACACAATAATTTGTTGGATTGTCTCTCCAAGGCGTGTGCTGGCCGGAGGCTAGCCTGTGTCTTTGCATGTGCGATGCCAGACTATAGTATCTCACGCATGCACAGTTTGAAGAAACGTAGCTGCTGGTCTGCTGCCTGGTTGCAACCACTGAACCATGTATGCCACCGTATGTCATATGCCCTGTCACGTATGTAGATTTAGGTCATCTTCACTGCACCGCCACGCAGGTCTCCACGACGATGACATCGACCAGTCTGACCAGTGAAACAGACGGGGATTGCAAGGTTAGGTTAGGCTTGGGCTTGGGCTTTGAAAAGAAGGGCATCGCGTCATCGCTGCATCACTGACTGACAGACATGTTGTACTGCATCATAACACTATTTCAAGTAACATGACTGGCAATGCGAACGGTACATAGTATATCATAGTAAATTATAGTATGTTATAGTATTATATGTGTATATATAGTATACATATATATGTATCGTCCTCAAGTCGTCAACGGCCCGGCCCGGAATGTGTATATGATGATGTCGGCCAGACCTTGAGAAGTGAACATGTTTCACCGATAAAACGGGGGAGTGCGAGCTTGGGGTTTGAAAAAAAAGCGTCGCGGCATCACTGACTGACAGACATGGTGACATGATGTACTGCATCAGAACAATATTTCAAGTGACATGACCAAGTGACCAAGGCCACAAGGCTATATGCCGCACCACAAACAATATGTCGTATGCACGTACTGCTGTCCGAAGTGGTTATATAACGGTTATATGGCTATATATTATATACTACATGCCGTCTGTCTGTCCGTAATGTCCATTGTGTAAACCCATGTGTTAGTTGACATACCTATGTCCTGCCAGTCCGAGTTACGATCAGTACCGTCATACGTAACACCAAACTTCGCCATATGTAACATATCTGGCATCACAAACTGTTCAGACATGCTATGTTCGGCATCGCAAACCTTTTCCAAATACCACATGACGCCTCGCAAAACCCTTTAAAAACTGATAAGACCTCTTACATACCACATGATGCATAGCAAAACCCTTTACACATACATATGATGCATCGCAGAACCGTTTACACATACCATATTATGCATCGCATAACTTTTCCAAATACCACATGATGCATTGCAAAACCTTTCTCGCATAACATATTATGCTGCATCGCAAGCCTTTTCCGATTACCACATGTTTTATCGCAAACAACTTTCTCAGATATCATAGGCTGCATCGCAAGACTGTTATCCGATATCATATGTTGCATCGCATTAATGTTGTCAGATACCATATGTTGCATCGCAGAAATGTTATCATATACCACATGTTGCTTCGCAAAGCTATTTCAGATACCCCATGCAGCATCGCAAAACTATTGAAACAACCATAGTCTGCACTGCAAACCTATCGTTAGACACCATGTTCTGCTGCACAAGTGTGTTGGATAGAGTTGTTGCTCGCGAATTTATTTTTGGCAACCGGTGTTTTGCAGTGAATATCCTATACCGGGAGGCCTGCCCTCCAGCACCTACTTTGGGATCCTAGGGTGGTGCTCTTGATAAGCCTGTCCTGCCCACAGGAGGCTCTGCACACCCCTAGAAGATCATCTACGACCGGTGGATCGAGATCACGAGGGAATTCCAATGGTTTCGGAGGGCCCTTCCACGGCGAGTCCTACGGCGTGGCCGGCTCCAGTTTCCGAAGCTCCAGTACCACCGGGGCTACTTCCAGCAGCTCATCTCGCTCCTCCCGCCGGCCATGAAGAGATCAGACCACGCCTCGGCAAATCCCTCTAGAAGGTCTTCGGTTCAAGAACCTGCCCAGGAGCCCGAGGTATCCAACGAGCATCCTCTACGTGATCCTGTTCAAGAACGACCAGAACCACAACTAGAGCGTGAACCCAAGGTCCCAAGGAGAGAAGTACCTTCCGAAGAAGGCCCCGCTCCTTCTGCAGAGCATCAAGCAGCAGCATCCTCTACCGCTACTTCGGCAGGTCCGGCTCCGGGCACTCCCATGCGACGTCGAGAGATTCACTCCACCCAGCAGGCTTCAATGGACGATGTGGACGATGAGCTTGCCACATGGTTCTCTCTCGACCATGAGGGCCAACCGGTCTTCGTGGCGAGCAGGTCCGATGAAGTCAACCTCAAGGAATTGTCCATGGAAGAAAAGAAGCTGTTCGAGCAGAGCGATGCGGTGGAATGGGATGCAATTGTCAAGACTGGAGCCGTCAAAGTGCTCCGAGGAAAAGAGGCAGCTGAAGCTCGCCGCCGATTTCCGGAGCGAGTCCTGAGCTCTCGCATCGTGAGGAGAAAGAAGCCTCAGCCAGGCACGGGATGCTGGAAGGCTAAGTCCAGATGGTGCATAGCCGGACACGGAGATCCGGACACAGCTGAGTTGGCTACGTTCTCTCCCACGCCGGCGACCGAAAGCATCATGGCCTTTCTCCAGGTGGGACTGAAGCTTGGTCACACGTTCTCGTTCACGGATGTCAAAAACGCCTTTTTGCCAGTCGGACAGGCTACGCCGCCCAAAGGGTCCCATATTCGCCGAACCATGCGAGTGCGAGGGACTGCAGCTCGAACCAGGCTCTCTCATTTCCATTGAGGTGCCAGTCTATGGACTGGACGATGCGCCAGCTGCGTGGCGTAACACTGTTACCCGATTCCTCACCGAAGAGGGCTTCGTGCGCAATCTGATCGAGCCCTGCTGGTGGTCTCGCTTCGATGAACACAAGCGCAATGAGGCCCAGGTTCTGATCGAGGTAGACGACTTCATTGTCAGCTGCGCCCCCCAGGTGAAGAGTGATCTGCGGAAGCGCTTCGAGGCAAGGTTCCACTTCGGCAAGTGGGAGGACAACGAGGCGGAATATGCGGGCCGCTTGGTGAAGGTTCTCTCGGATCGCATCTTAATCCACCAGGAGAAATACATCACCGAGCAAGTTTTGCCAGTGCCTCTCCTGAAAGGGAGGCGCTCCCAGAAAGAGAGTGCGCTCACCAAAGACGAGTTCGAGAGCTTCCGCAGCGCCATCTACAAGGTGAATTGGGTGGCCAAGGAGACAAGGCCGGAGGTTTGCGGAACCGCGTCACTGATGGCGAGCAAGCTCAAGGACGCCACGGTGGACGACGTGCTGGTGCTCAACAAGAACATCAACTTCCTGAGGACTACGGCGTCGAGACCGCTCACGATTTGGAAGCACGATCCCAACGAGATGGCTTTCCTGGCAGTGTCCGACGCCGGGGGAACAGGATCCAAGTACGACACTCTCGACGAGGACGGTCTCCCTTCGGACAACACTCAGGGAGCGTGGATGGTTCTTACGGCAGGATCCCTGCCGATCGGGAACCAGCGCGTGCGAGCCTCTCCTTTGTCATGGAGGTCCAGTAAGCTTCGCCGCAAGGTCTTCTCTACATTTGGTGGAGCGACGCAGGCCATGTTGCAGGCTCTCAACGAGGTCGATTGGCTACAGATCATGATCAGGGATGCGGTTCAACATGACGTATCTCTGAAGCAATGGCGGAACTCCTTGTCACCTCACATGCTGATCATGAGAGGTGACGTCGAGCTTCTGAAGCAGCCGCAGTGTGCCGTGACGGACGCTAAGTCGCTCTACGACTGCATCAGGAGCACCCTCAGGGTAAACAAGATCGGAAATCTGCACTGGAACTCGCCATTATAGTGAAAGATCTCCAAGATTCTTGCTCCATGGTGCGCTGGGTGCCACATCAAAAAATGCTGGTTGATGCACTTACCAAGGCTGATCCTATGAAGGCAAACGGCGCCATGGATCAGTTCCTCCGGACGGGAAGCTTCAGCCTGGTGGATATCTCCGAAGAGATGCGATGTAGGGCCCTAGATTCTAAGTACAAGAGCGGTCACAGAATATCAGCGGGATGCCGAGACGTTCTGGTCAACCCTAATTTGGGGAAGCTGTGCTGAGTATCCTGATGCGATTGTTAAGCTCGATTGACCAGAACAGCAGCCAAGCAGGAGACTCTGCGACGCCACTTCGTGGCTCAAGGGACACAGCAGCCAGAGAGTAAAAAGCGTGCAGCCATGCAGTGAGTGCAGCGATATCTCCTTCCGCTACACCTGTTCCAAAGCGACAGTGCAGGGGGAGAGGGTTGCTAAACTTAGCCGTTCCACATGGGGTAAGGAGGATGATCACATGAACAACCATTGGAAGAAGGTTTAAAGCAAACCACCCAACCATTCCACGTGCAGGCTAGCGGGCAAGGGGGGATGACCAAATGGGGGTACCATGGAGGGGGGACGCAGTCGTTCTTTTGATTGTCTTCCTGTGTTCTTCCTGTCCGATTTGGTTGGAGGTTATGCCGCTTGTTGGGCCAGACGCATGCATTGGTCGTCCCTCCAATCCAATCATGTCAGTTTCAAAATGTTAGGATATCTTACAAACATGCTAAAACATCAAAGGACAGCCATCAGAATACTGATTGTGCCTTGTATCAGGAAGACAGACTCAGATGACGCCAGCGAGGCGTCGACAGATGCCTGGCCAAGTGAATACAGTCCTGGTGCTTTGATGTAGTGCTGTCCTTCATTAGTGAACCGCCTCAGAGACTGAAGACCGCGATTCTGAGGAGCAGGCGGAGCAGGTTGACACCTCCCCAGATGGAGACGGCTGGAGGAAACTGTTGGGTCGGCTGTTGCTGAAGGACGAGTGTGAACTGCAGAGTGCTTTGAGCAATGGGGTCTAGGTGATTTGAATTCAGGTTGACATGTCGGTGGGCCTTTTTGTTTGCCAACCGACCAGTTATGTCAGATCGCAAGCGGCAGAATTGTGCCTACCAACCCGTCTTGCTTTGCTAAAGGATAGGCCAAGTCGAAACAAGCCCTCAGAACTTTGCTGTGTGCAACCCAAGTGTGTTTGAGCACTGCACATGAAGTTTTCTGAATAGTACGTTTGCAGACATGTGTGGGGATTCTCAAGGACTCAGATGCTTGCCTGCGACAGCATCAACAGATGCTCGGCTGCAGTTGGCCACGTCATGCCGCTCAGGCGCTTTGAGATGTGACGCAAGAGGGTCACGGCAAGGCTAGCCACCAGGAAATTTGCCACCGCCATGATCAGTTTCGGCACTGCACGACACCGCCCATCTGCCCCTGAGAGGAACATGAAGGGTCCAGAGCAGCTGCATTGCCATCATCCGCGAGTATAATCAGGGCAAGACGGGAAAGTTATAACGTTTACCCAAGGCCAGCACACGACTTGCAGAACACATGCCAAACGAAGAAGGGTGCAGCGTGTGGGCTCCAATACTTCCCAGGTTCCTATGGCCGAGCCTGAGAAGGAAAGGGGTCACCACCCTCCCCACTGCACACAGAGAGAGGGAGAGAGAGGGGGAGGAAGAGCCGTAGGCAATTCAGTCAACAAGAGGGCGTACGACTTGTGCCTAGTCCCCAGGTCAGGTCTTTCCTCGCTTCCATTCCAATTCGCCGATCCCAATCTGGCATTCCCTCTCTTCTATGGAGTCCAGAGCGTATAAAAGGGTGGGTTGGTGTGACCTGTGAGGATGAAGCACGAAGCCCTGTGGCTATCACACCTTGCGGGCACCTGGCGGGACTCCTACGGTGCTGTGGGAAGTCACTTGGTACGAACAGCACAAAGTCACAAATCTCTTGGAAGCGATACAAGGCAGTCGGTCACGTTTTTGTGAGACGGGTTGGATTTCGAAGAAGCCGTTAGCGTCGTGAGAGGATTCCATGCAGACTCCTTGGTGATGATTGAGGCGGGGAGACTGTGCAGGCTGCGAAGAGAGCTCGTGTGCTTCACTTGTAGGCAACAAGATAGTGCCACATGTTCTCCGTCCCGCTCGTTGACCTGGCATCCCGCAAGCTGCCAGTTTGTCAGGATGGAGAGACGTCCGCCGTGAAGGTTCGACAAGCGACCTCCAGCAAGGCCGCCCTTCAATGAAAGCCTGTAAACTCCTTGAACCACAACCGGCCAATATGTGTCTGCTTGGATCGAACAGCCATGGGGCTCCTGCAACGCACGTACTCTCCTTTCGGATCCCAACAGGCATCCATCTTGGTGCTGCTTTACGGCGACTTCTGGGAGGCAGTGGGAGTGTGGGAGTGTGGGAGTTTGGGAGTGGGAAAGCGCCTTGTCGGGCTTTGAACTTTCGCAAGGGCGTGCTTGTCGGGCTTTCACGCTTTCACGAGGCCGATGCAGACCTCCAAACCAATTCTTTGAGCTGGTCAACCGGCGAGCTTTGGGAGAAGGAGCCGAGAGGCCTGCCTCTACTTCCTCACCGCGTAGTGTGGCCAGCTGGCACATCTGACTCATGACTAAGGCTTGGCAAGGTAGGAGAGAAGCCAGCAAACCTCTGCTGTTGAGATTCGGCAGGCTATGCTGGCTGCTGAATGCTGGCATCATCTGATCGTGCCATGCCCCTTCAGGCATACTGATTTTTGCTGAGGTGTTCGGCGTATCAAGCAAGTGGCACGCCTAAGATGGTTCTTCCATTCCGGCCGCTCTCCGCTTAATGGCAGCGTCAAAATGGCTGCGGCTCAAGAAACATGAGCCCACTTAGTAGCGAACGAAAGGTGTGCCAACGACGAGAAGCTGCCAATGTACATTGCTGCATGCCCGTCTCAGTCAGTCGACTTGTAGACACCTGCCGTCATGCTCCAGCAGCCAGCAGGGCAATCCCGTTCTCTTGATTATATCTGTAGTATTCTGATCGGCTTCCGTAACATCTTGGAGTTGTCTTTGAGGCTACGAGTGTTTGTCAGCGACCAGCTCCCTGTTCAGAGCATGGGGCGACATCCGTCCCTTCCAGCCCGAAGGAGAGACCGGTCCCAACTGTTTGATGTACAGAGATTAGTTACTAGTCACGATTGGTGAGCGGCAGAGCGTGCTCATGCAAAATGGTTCAGCACCGAGCGCACGTCGTCGGATGATTTGTGTGCCCGTGTGGGCTGCAGTTTCTTCAGTAATCGCCATGTGCTCGGCAAGATCACGCCCCTCCAGAATGGGACAAGCTGTTTCTTCAAGTTAGCAGGCCCAGTCTAAAGAGTTGTGTCTACACTTGCTCTTTGTGCACATCAAAGCTCAAGCTTCCTGCCTGGTCAGCTTGTGCGTACGTGTGACAGGATGATGTCAACTTCAAAAGTGTTGTGGGGGTCGTCCGTGTCGGATATTTCAGCAGCATCTGCGGCAGTGGCACCATTGATGAGGAAATGATGCTAGAGCACGAACACGATCATTGCACATGAACATGTCCAATGGGATCGAATTCGTAAGAAGCAGCCTTACAGCCAACCCTTGAGCCCAGAAAGAAGCCCAGTTGTTCTGAGCGGTGTTCTGTTTCACCGACTCCTGGGTCCGACATGTTTGCACGATGATCCGCTTTCGTGGCTCACCGACTCGCAGAGACTTAAATGGGCCGCCACAGATAAAGATGTCACGATGTACGCAAGTTGAGCTTTTGAGGTATTATGAACTTTTCAGTGTCATTGCCAGCTTCAATAGTAGTCGCAGAGAGCCTTTGCAATGGAATGTTTGAATGCTGTTTTGTCACGCTTGGACCGCACTGAGGTTGTCCCAGTATCATGGAATCACACATGCCGAAGTTCATCTTCCTTTTTCATGTAGCCGCGCATGTTCTACTGCGGGCAGGCTGACATCTTCAACGTCACGCAAGAGTTGGCTGTCCTACGTGAATGTCTTGCAAAATCTGGGGCTCTGAGCCAAGAAGTTTTCAAAGCGCGACTACATCACAGGCGCCACCTGACTTTCAAGTCTGGAGATGGGCCACAGTATGTCGTTTATCGTCAAGTCTTGGTATCGGGCTTGTGTGCATGTGCGAACGAGGTTTTGAAGCACTTCGACAGCATGTCGAACCGCCATTGGTGCAGAGCAGAGACTCCAAGCCGATTTAGGCACAGTTGCTGCTGCATTCTTGTTGCTGCAATTACTTGATATTTGCCGGCCCAAGGACGAGTCTCTATACGATGCTCTGGATCATGCCAGCCTGCTCCTTCCAATCGTACAGTTTTCAGGTTTGCCATCTACTTATGCATTGGAGAAGTCTTCCAAGCAAGCTCTTTGCCTGAAAGATAAATGTGGTACTTTTTCGATCGTGATCCGACCGAGTCTGGCAGTTGGCAATAGGCGACCCGGGTGGCAAATCCATTGCATGTCAGTTTAAAGCGAGTCAAGGCTGTGACAGCACTGCGGAGATTGATGGGTCCGATCAAAGCCTGCTTCACAAAGCTGTATGTTTGCGGCGGGTGCCAAAGAAGCACCGATCTTGAAGCAGGCAGGTTGCAGTGCAAGCTTGCTGGAATCAAGGGTGCCATTTCACGATGCTGTGCCTGCTTTGCGTCGATGGTGCGATGCTGGGCCAACCCAGTCTGGGCTTCTGCGTGCGCCTGCTGCATCCTGCTGCCAGGCCATGTGACGGTTCCACCACTGATCAATGTGGTAAATACAGCTCGGGGCATAGTGCGGCGGTCCACACTGCTTGCTGTCATGCAGAGTTTTGTGAGTTAAGGTTGAACGAATGGATTTGAACCAGATGTTTGACTCGACGACATTTCCAGACTGGGAAGCACCTGGACCAAGACACACGACTGCTGCGGCTCACATCTGTTCACTTAGGAGTTTGCTGCCGCAACCCAAGTCAAACTGTCGGCCCATTCAGCGAGGTGTTGCAGAGTGGCCCAGAGATGCAGATGACGTCTCGGTCGGATGCAGTGGCGGCAATTTTGCAGGGAAGTTTGTACATATGTGGTGGACAGGCCAGGGATTCTAGAGACATGCTCAAAGACATCGAGATAGTGTCGTCGCGGCGTCACTTGGCATAGGACGGCATGGGGGTGCTGAACAGCGCATGCCGTTTTAATCCTGCTCCTGGCGGCGGCGACTGGGAGGCCCGAACCGCTTCGGCCAAACTCGCTGACATACCGTTGCGGCGCCGCGGACAGTCAGAGTCAGGGTTCACCCATTAAGCAGAAGTGATGAGGGAAGTGCCACTGGCCCACAACTTCTCGGAGGATTCTCCAACAGTCTCTCTGTCTCGCATCAATGCCCAGCTTCTCGTGCAATGCCGGATGAGAACGAAACCTGTGAAAGAACATTGCACACGGTAGTAAGTGGTATCAACAAGCAGAAGCGCAAATCGAAAACCAAATCACATTGACGATGGTTGCGATTGCGATGGCTCCAGGCGAACTCCGAGTGTAGCCGAACAGGATCAAGCCTTTGTCGTCCATGATTGAAAGCTGTGACGTTTGCAGTATGTTCCGACAATGCCTACGATGTTGAACCACACAGCGGACCAGCAACTTTTTGCGGAACCCTCCATAAGAAAAGCAGCACAGCGGCCACCATCTTGGAACACAACTTCTGCTTCAAAACCCAACCGAAGTTTTTTACGAAGTGTTGCAACATCAGCGTCGTGCAGAGCCAAGCTTAGTCTGCCACGGTCGTTTCTGTAGTGTTCTGACTGATGTGGTGCAGTTCGAGACATTCCGATCGGTTGAGCTGAGCCCGACTCCTTTGATCGCCACAAAACCGCCATCAACCGGCTCCTGCTCGACCTTTGAAGCGCCAGGGGAGCTCCCTGAAGAAAGAAGGGAGCTATTGCTATTGCCGCGAATGCGCTGCTTTCCCTCCGCATGTCGATAAGTAGCCACCGCACGGAGGCGGCCGTCTTGATGTTGCAGCATGCAGCAGTGAGGGCAGACACGAACGGCCGTCGGCTTGCTTTTCATCCTCCTCTCGAGTGTCATCAGTGCTGCAGCAGGTGTTGCCGTCCATGTGGCAGGGGCGCTGGAATGCAACAGGACCCAACTGTCGCTTGCCTTGCATTGCCGGAAGCTAGCCTCGAGTTATTCAGTTACGGCATCACCTCTGACCAGTGTCATCCAGTGTCCTTGCAATTTGACCTTTTACTTGTGCGCTGAGCTGTGCGCTCATCCGAATGCATGGCCGGGTATGGATCGTTAATCAACGTGTGTTGCTCTGTCTGCGCGATCCTGTGCAGGAGGAGCTGTGGATGGGTGCCTTTACATTTGTGGTGGTGCAGACAACAGTTGCGGGGCGTTCACTTAGCCTGTGGAAGACGTTTCAAGCCAGACTTTTTTTAGTGTGAAAGCATCTGGTCCAAGGTAGCCCTCTCAATTCCAGCGAGCGTTTCGATCCTGTTAATCATGCATGGGAAGTCATGAATCCCATGCTTCGTCAACGTTCAGGTGGCAGACTTAGCTCCGTGTTGCAATATTGTTGCAGGCTGCTCTGGCAAATATAGCCCTGAAAGCCTCGCAGCCACCAGGCTCGGTGAGTGCCGCTTTGGGAAAAGCCCTGCTTGTGGCGGGCGGTGGCGATGGCCAGCAGCCTCTAAGCACTTTGTCTCAAGTTGGAAGCACTGCTGTCTGTCCCGGTGCAGTGCTGAGAATCCTCCAGTGGATCCAGGTTCCGCAGAACGTTTTTCTCCTTCCAGTGCAAGCTGGGAAGCGCCTTGCTGAGCCTTCGCGGGAGTATGGTTAGCCAGGTTCTGGCACAGGAGCAGCATGAAGCCTGCCGTCAAGGTCTTGCCCGCAATGGCCCACCGCCGTATTGGAGCAGTTTCGGCTGTCCTTCATGATTGCTGGCAACTCTTTGGCAGCCTATGAGCATCACATCCTGTCGCACTCGCCGTTGCTGGCTGGCATGCCCTCTGCTGTTCTTGACGGCTTTCAGTGAGTCTTCACTGTGAGATATGGGGTTAGGGGTCTGCCCCTTCATGCGTCATATGTTAATTTAAGTTAAAACCTTCAGCTTCTCCAGTCCTCTGTAATTTGTATTTCAGTTTTGGCGAGTGAGTCTTGTTTAGACCTCGCCCGTGGTTTAATCAGATCTCGCAGTTTCGTTGAGGCATGACCTATACCGAGAAGCAGTCAGCAGATGATTCTAAGGCTTATTCGACTGCACCCTTGAGTGCTGTAAGGTATGTTTGCGGAGGTGGAGATGGTCACCACGTCTTGGCCTCGTTCCAGATCTTTCTGTTGTTCTCGGGAGTGCCGGGGTGTGATGTTGGCAACTTTCGCCAGGTGTTGGATTCCGTTGAAATGTTCCACCCGCAGCGTCTGTGCTGGGAGAAGCTTGCTCCTATGACCTGTCCCCGTCGCAGCTGGCCTGTTAAGTTTGCCAAGGTGAAAAGTCGGGTAAGTCGGGTGTGTGCCAAGCGTCAGCAAAGCCGACTCGAGCTCGAGTCGCCAGTCGCCAGTCGCCAGGTTGGGGCAGCGTCGTTGGCGTGCTGGGCCATCACTTGTACGCTGCCTGTCTGCACGTGTGGCCACAGAGCTTGCGCGAGAGTTCCTGGAGTAGACCGTCAGAAACTGCACCGACATCAAGACATCACAGATGCGGCTGAACATTTGGGCCAACACAAGTTCGATGCAGAATCTTGGACGGAGTGCAGCAACCTTGCAACAGACAGACAAGACAGGTCTGCGGTGGTGGAACGGGACAATCTGCCAGCCTGCCTCGGTTCGACGGCAGGGTTTTTTGCGACGCGTGTGTTGGAATTTGGCCAGGTGCTAAGTGGAGCAGAGCGCTACAACACCGAAAGCCGGACTTGGGAGGACTGAGTTGAGGTTTGAAGTTTAACGGTTCATTGCATTGTCTTCTCCCAGTCGGAGGAACTACCGCCTATGCAAAGCCACAGATGGGGTGCCACCTGCGTGGTGGCTTTGGGTTGCCTCTATGTGCTCGGTGGTACGGGCCTTAGGGCGTCCCAGCACCCAGCATACAGGCAGAACAGTCATGGCTCCCACTGCCGCGGCGGCTAAGGAAGCAGCGGTACAGCACCACTTGACACCGCGGAACGCTTCAACCCTGCAGCAAAGGCATAGACACAAAGAGTCGGTTTGGCTTCCGCCCTCCGCCCTCCGGCAGGCCTGGGAGCAGTTGCCCAAGATGGGACAGCCGCGATACAGGCGCTGCCTAGAGAAGCTTCAAGGGCGCTTTTAGCCTTGATGCGGCTGCCATCCAGGGGAGCAGCTGCCATTGTTATTGGCTGAGTTCTACCAGCCTGAAGCTTACTTCTGACTGTCCTTCTCCTTCACCCTTGGAAGCAGACAGACCCTGAATGTGCTGCGGGCATATCTCTGCAGGAAGCCAAGCCCCAGTCGCCAATCCCGAGGTGGACCTCTGTGAACGTGTGGCCGAACAGTGTAGCAGGAGCAAAGACCTCCTCAGCTGTGACTTCGTTTGAATGTTGGCTTCCCCCCGATCGTCCGCATTCCACCTGCTTCGGGGCAAGGATGCTCAACACGAGCAACCACATTGCCCTAGCATGGGTGCTGTATGCAGGCGCCTGCTCGAGTGCATCGTGCCATTTCTAAGCGATGCCGGTTGACAAAGCCCTGCAGTTCTTCTTGCCTGCTTGATGGTTGGATGATGTTCGCCACAAGACGACTGTGGAACACAATGGCTTTGTCGATGGTGATTCAGGGATGGTGTCTACCATCGCGGTTTCTGGGTCGAGCCGAATTCATTTGCATCCAGGGTAGGCTTCGAGATGCTTACGTTGGTCAGCCGACATGGGCAACATGGCCTGTGCAAGCAGTGCAAACTTCAACGCTCAGCCCGACACGTGTACGAACCGGAACAAGCAAAGGATACCCAAGGACTTGTGACATCTTGTGACAACTTGCCATGGAGGCACCAAGGCAGCGACGGCAGGAACGCCGGCAACATGCAATCAACAAAAAGGGGTGAAACGAAGCATGGCATATCATGTCTGAATGTCTTAAACTGTGTTACGCTGCATCAGTCAATGACAGGAGTGCTGTGAGAAACCCGGTGCAGTGCATGCCCAGGACTTGAACTGATTGTGCATTGTGCGTTACACGACCCTCTCAAAGACGTGGCGCAGCATGGCTGTAGGATGGTCAAGCCGATTCCGAGCTTGAGAAGGATGGGCAGAAAGGAGGCCACAAAGGCCAGAAAGAGCATCACGGTGATGGAATGCATCACCCGTGCTGCAGGAGCCATTGTTGCGTTTTGTTTTTTACAGTTTCCGCTGGCCACCGACGGCTTGCTGTCAACAGGTTGTCCAAGACCACATGTCAGAACAGGAGATTCCTTGCATCTCCAATCTGGAGATGCGCGACGCTTGTCGACGGGGCTCCAAGACTCTGTCCTGGCTGCTCAACGCACGTCCGGTCCGCCGCGCTCTGTCCTGGCCTTTCACCCGAGGTCGTCGGCTTTACTCCAGTGGGGTGGCCCAGATGGGAGACGAGATGAGAAGAGAGAAGTCCTCCGCTTTCGGTGCGTGGTGCCGCTATGCGGTGCTGGTTGCTCGGAGGTCTTTGGCATGTGGCTGGCGATGCCCGAGCTCTTGGCGGCGCTCGAGATCTCGCCTTGGTCGCCGCGGCCCCAGCTTCTCCGCGATGTGTCACATTGATCTGCTGCGTGTCAGGCCAGTTTCAAGCCTTGAGCACAGATGGGGCACGAGGTGAGCCCTGACCATGCTGTGGTGCCAGATTGGCGAGAGCATATCCGGCATGTGTGTGACGATTACTACAGTTGAGCGGCTTGAGCGAGCCGACGGGATGCCTTTTCCCAGTTTCGGCACAAGAGTTTCCTGCCAGCCTTGGCATGCTTTGCAGTGCTTAGAACGAAAACACTCGTGCCTCTCGCCTCAGCGCGCCGTGCAGCATGTAGCCATCCGAGCAGCAGAAGCGACCATCTCACGTCTGAGCTTGACCACTGCGCTTTGTCTTATCGTGTAGAGGGTGCATGTCTGGAAAATTCCAGTGTTGGTTTGTTTCACAATCGTTGCGGGTAGGTAGGTGCATCGACGGGGATTAGCAGAACGTCAAAGTGGAGCGTCATCTGCACGAATCGCGTAGGAAATCAGCCGGCCTTTGCACCACGTCAGGCGATTTTATTGCCCGGGTGATGGTCAGGGATACTTGGTTCTACCAGCCAAAGACCGCAGAATTTCAACTCACAGAACGAAGCTCGCCAACAAGCTTCACTTGATGGTGCACGCATGGTGCACCGCATCTGCACACGGGGCAAGGCAGAGAAGTTGTGATGTGATGTCGCAACAAAGTGCAAGAGCAAAGCAGAGCGACCAAATGCCTTTTGGGCCGCCCCTCCATGCACATGTACACGGTGCACAGTATCTACGAGCAGTCGATTCTGGCGAGACATGCATGAAAAGAGGACAGAGCTCGACATGGTCATGCAGTGATGCTGGACTGACATGCTGTACTTCCGACACTTGATTGCGGTACAGAGCCCAGCTGACGGCAGCCTAGGCTGACTTGGGCGATGAACTTCCTGTTCGGCAGCTGGCACCCTGATAGAAGTCTGTAGCTGGAAGACGGAGTTTCAGTTGGTTGGCTGGTTTGCCGTGAAGACTGCGCTGATGGGGTCAGCTGCCGATAGCACATTCCCATGCTGCGGGGATTGCGGGGCGCTTGTTGCCAGGATTTCCATTCAGTTCCTCTTCAACTTCATAGCGTCGGTGCCTCACGGGAAGCAGTTTGGCCTGCCATAAGTTCCTTCGCGGGCGAGCATATGCCAAGGACGCAGTGGACTGATGCCGGCGACTGCAAGACTATCAAGCCACCCCACGAGGCCAGACATTGCTGTTGAATAGCAAATGCCCATCTCGTCGTCGCCGTGACCGTAGTCAGTGGTCGTCCCTCTGGTTCCTTCTTTCCGCTGAGAGGTGACCGGGCAGTTCGAGTTGGGCAGCCTGTTGCTGAGATTTTGCTCGGAGGATTATCTATCGGGCAGGCAAACAGGCGACACCAGATGACACAGTAGCTCAAATCTTGCATGTGCTGGCTGCGCTGAAGTGCAGTTTCGGCGGCTTGACATATCTGCAGCGAAGCTGTCAGGATGCGATGATGCGCCCCGTGACTCAGTACTCATGCATTCGTCGACTCTTTGTTGACTGGGGGTAGGGTGCTGCAAATGCAGGCCGCAGCTACTCTATGCACCTAACTGGTGCACGTCGCTCGGATGCAAAGCATGCATCCACTCGGGTATTGAGATTCGATTAATCCCAGAAGAGGGCAGGGTGTCGCAGAACAGTAATTAGTCGTTCCTTCTCTTTTTCTGGGCAGGACTTTCTGAGAGATAGAACGCTTTCGAGAATGATAACTAGAGAAACAGAGGACTACAAGACATGTGCATGAAGACGTAGTGTTCAGCACGTGTATGCAAATCGAAAACATGGTCTGTGACATGATAGCCCGCGCCACGCATGGCTTCATTTCCCGTCTCGGAGGAAGTGCGGACATTGGAAGCCGCCCAGATCTCATCACTGCCGGTGGCTCTGGATGTCCGTCTTCTTGTCCTATGGCTCAGCTTTTGAAGCTTTTGAAACATCGTCCGCCCAGGTAGCATGAGCAAGCGATGCATTCTTCGCCCGTGCCCCAGCAATCACAGCAGCTCGGCCGCTCCGCGCGTTGTGAGTCGCTGTGGAAGGCATGGATCACTACTGTCCCTTTACTGGGAACTGCATCGGCCTGCTCTTGCCTCAGAGGTCCAAACTGATCTCGCTCGGTGTTCAGAGCCCAGGAGAAACCATGGCCACTTCATTCTCTTCTACGTTTTCTCGTCACTCTGCAACAGAATTATCAGAATTGTCATGGCTGAGAGCCACGGGGGTGGTCACCGCATTCAGGTTTGTGGGCTTGTCGTATTCTTTGGTGCTGCCTCGCGCTGAGCGTCGTTTCGGCCTTGTTGCAGTCGTGCTCCTGCCTGTTGGCGAGGTGCTTTGCGGCTGTCTACAGAGCGGGCTATTTCTCGCGCTTCACCTCAACAGCCGTGGGGACCTGTGTTAACTCGCTTGGTATAAAGCGGCTCAACATG